TCGCTGCTCATTTTCATGGCAATCTGAAAGAAACCAAAGAAGAGCATATAAATACATGTTAATTCAGATTTATTTTAAAACTCATAATTACCTAGTTACCAGACTGAAATATTAAAGGATGGGATCAAAAACATACTATTATCGAATGCTTTCATGGCCAGAATCACTGGGTTGCTGTGATGCTTCTGGAACATAGTCATACAGCCCAGAAAACTCACAGCAAGCCAACAACACTATTGTTAGGAAGCATGAAGCAACTCAGACACCTAAAGATGGAGGCGGTGTGGTGTCATTAGACTTCCAGCCTTTCAGAGGACAGAGCAGAATAGGGCACATAGCTTTATCTACATCCCGTAAGCCACGGTAGCCTTCCTCTACAAGTTTTAGATAATAGATGTTTGACTTTACAAACAGCATGAATCTAAGTGGGCTGTGATAACCAAAATGATTAGTTTTTATCAGTATTTATATTAGTACATGGGGGGGGGGGGGTCTTACTATTTGACAGTTCAAAGTGACAGAAAAACAGAAAACCGGGCAACAAAAAGAGTTATGAAAGCAAGACATCTCACACAGTATTGGCCTGGAGGACTCCATTGGCAAAAATGAAGCAAATAGCCTCTCATAAAGGTAAAGGTAGCTATTGATCTACTCACATTTGCATGTTTTCAAATTACTGGGTTGGCAGAAGCAAGGACTAATAGCGAGAGCTCACCCCACTCCCCCAAATTTAAACCGCTGACCTTTCGGTCAGCAAGTTCAACTGCTCAGCGTTTTAACCCACTACATTACTGGGGGCTTTATAGGAGTTTGAAAAAGAATCCAGAGCTAGCCCAAGAATTCTCATCTCTCACCCACTTCTTATCCTTTTTTGCCTAGTGCCATCATTCTCTGTCATCACTGCAACCAGAAACATGCATTCAAGAGGAAACCAGGTGTTTATAGAAAATCCTCTTATGCAGCACTCTTTCAAAAAGATGGAAGCATTTTGGAAAATAAAGGTTGAAATCGACTTGTCCATCTCCCCTGCAATGGGCTTACCAAATCAGTGACTTACCAAGTTCTGATTCAATGGATCTAACTCTTGTTGGAACTAACATCTTGATTTCAATCAAAGCCTGCTTTCTATGTAGCAGTACCCTCTTTGATGCTCTCCCCCTGCCCCCAATGGGGCACAGAACAGGCAGAAACAGAAAATGCTGTGGTGACATGGCAAAAAGGCAATGGGGAAATGTAAAGACCATGAGAACTAATTGTTGATTAAACAGACAAGAGTAAAACACAAAATAAAGGAAAATGCAAAAGTGTACAGAGGGTTGAATTATACAAAACACAAAGTGGACAGTGATGTGAAGTGATTACAGTGGGATTTAGGAATCCTGGCTTTAATACTCAGTAGCACATAGGACTCAAGGAACAACCCTGAACCATACAAACTCCCTCATAGGGTTATGATTGTAAATATGAAATAGGGAGGATACCAGTGCATGTTGCTTTGAGTACACCACAAAAAAGACAGAAATGTGACTAATACATTGTAAATTAAAACAGCTTGTGAAATTTCACAAGTCACTTATGAAACTTTAAGTAGTTGTAGATTTCAAGATGTGGACAGATTAAGTTTATGGAAACATATATATGATTATAAATGAAACAACAAACTGTTAAGATTACAAATAACAAATCTGTAATTCATTCTGTTATGTTTGATATATTACTTTCCAAAGAATTTCAAATTTTGTGTGCAGATCCGTTTGGTTTCACTCTTTAACATCTTTCCTATGCCCATTCCACACAGCTGTATAAAATCCACATTGAACTGGATTATATGGCAGTGTGGACTCAGATAATCCAGTTCAAAGCAGATATTGTGGATTATCTGCCTTGATATTCTGGGATATGTGGCTGTGTGGAAGGGCCCTAAATGACTCATAGTTAAGATGGGAGGGTGGGAGTGAAATAACAGGAAGTCAGAGAAATCTACCCTTCAGAAGAGAAATCCACTCCTGAAAGAGTTGTCCACTGAAGCTTTCTCATTAATCCTTGTTACCTAAAAAGACCATTTTTTAAAAATCCAGTTATCACAGCAACAGAAAGTGAGGTGAAATCTCCTGAACATGGGCACAGACAGCAAAACAAAGACCACAGGAGTGTTAGCCCTTCCCTATCATAGCCAAAGCAGATGATAGATAGATAGATAGATAGATAGATAGATAGATAGATAGATAGATAGATAGATAGATAAGATTATAGATAGATGGATGGATATACACTTTTAAAATGTACCTGTATGGACTTACAGACAAATTCAACTTAAGAACAAACCTACAGAACCAATCTTGTTCGTAACTTGGGGACTGCCTGTCCATCTCTGTGAAGGACCCCAGGTTCTACATACATTTCAAGTGTTACCTTGCAAAAAAAAAGTCTCCTGTACACACTAGTAAATACTAAACTTGAAGTATGACCACTACCCCCCCCCCCCGCCCCAAATACACACACACACACAACATACTGATTTTGTGAAACCTACAAGTAATTTTGATAGGGCAGTGACAACTTAGCAGAGTGTCTACATTAAGCAAAAAAAAGTGGGGGGGGGGGGTAGCAGCCCACACTAATTTCTAACTGTAGAGTTACTGGTGGCAGTCCCAAGTAGAGCAACAGCAGTGCAAAAGCAGCCATAGTTGGCCACATGGCATGTTGGCCAGTTGTGTTACAAAGGAGGGGTAAGCAAGTGCATTCTGTGGGTTACACGTAGCTCCAAGGGCTGCTTTTGTAGGCCCACAAAAATTGTAAGGTGATTCCCAGATCATTTTTTGTGTTAAAGGTCCCTCCTAGGCCTAAAATGGCAAAGTAGGAATCAAAAGCATAGTGAAATTGACCCCTTCCCCATCTGGGGCAAAATAAAAGAGAATTTCTGCAAACAAAGAAGGATGCAGCTTTTCAAAGTCTCCCAAACAGCAATGTAACTTTCTAATCTTTTCTAATGCCCATCTCTATTTTATAGGAACCAAATGAAGTCCCGGTCCTATACATTTTATTTTTATTGTCCATGAAGTTCATTGTTTATACAGTCAGCCCTCTATGTCCTTAGATTCTACATTTACAGATTCTGCCATCCACATCTTGAAAATATTCCTTAAAAATAATCCCTAAAAGCAAAACTTGATTTTATCCTTTTATACTGTACAAGGGACAGCATGGTATATAATGGAACTTGAGCAGCCATGGGTTTTTATATCCACAGAGGGTCCTGGAACCAAAGCCCAGCACTTTACTTTTCCCTGCAATCAAGGACTGGAAATCTGCAAGATTGACAATTGCCAAAGGCTGTTGTGCATTTACCATATTCCAGGGGGTCATTCAGGAGATTACATCTGCACATTTCTTCTTCGCCTGCCAAAACCTTTTGATCCAACATTGGTAGGTACAAAGTTGTTCTTGCCCACTCCTCCTGACCTACTCAGGAAGTCTGCCAAGCGATGGGTCACACAGGTAGCTGTGTTACATCCTCTCTTCTGTGCGGTAACACTGCTTTTGCAAAGAAACAAATAAGAATTAAGATCTGAAATCCTTATTTGAGTACCAGATAAATTATAAATAGAGAAGAACCTTGGGATGTTTGGAATGAACAGGACAGTTTATGCTCAAGCTCCTTTCTCATAAATAATGCTTTGGAATTTAGCTAAGGGCCATTCCACACAGCCATATAACCCAGAATATCAAGGCAGAAAATCCCGTAATATCTGCTTTGAACACCTTATCTGAGTCCACACTGCTAAATATTCTAGTTCAAAGCAGATCATGTGGGGGTTTGTTCAGCTGTGTAGAAGAGCCCCCCTGTTCAAAAGTATCCCGGGGCAAATAAGTACACCTGAACAGCACTGTTTTAGTGGTAGTTGACTAGGAAGCAAAGTATGGTTTGGCTTGTAGCCATGAAGTTCAGGCAACAGGTTGATCAATATATATTAATCAAGATCACGAGGAATATTTGAGATTTCCATTCAGTGCTACCTGCAACGAGGGTGACAACAGCAGGAGAGAGCTAATATTCCTATAACTGGCCAAGAAAAAATCAAGTTGGTCACTATAGGAAACAATGGGATACTAGGGGCCCTTCCAGACAAGCCCTATATCCCAGGATCTGATCCCAGATTTTCTGCTTTAAATTGGATTATATGAGTCCACACTGCCAGATAATCTGGGATAAACAGAAAACCCTGGATCAGACCCTGGGATACAAAGCCTGTCTGGAAGGACCCTAGGTTAGACAGGCAACTATCTCATCAAGACACACTTTTCTTGCATTGTTATCCAATAAAAACTAAGTACAGGACTGTGAATTCTCATTACTTGCAACAGACAATTGAGAATACCCAGCACTTACTCTTGTCTGGGGCAATTTGAGTAAGAACAAAACTTGTTGGACTACAGATCCCTGCATTCCCCCACCAGCATTAGGCACAGTTCTCTGCCAAAAGCAACTTTCCCTAGCTCTGATCAGGCTTGTCCATACAATGATACCATGTGGGATACAGAAGATTACATTCTTAATCCCATTGTCCTAATTCCAACAGACCTCATACCTCTGAGGATGCTTGCCATAGATGCAGGCGAAACGTCAGGAGAAATGCCTCTAGAACATGGCTCTATAGCCCGAAAAAACCCACAAGAACCTAGATTACATTCTGTTCATGAATACAACTAATATAAAATGATTCATTCACTTAACATAGATTTGTACAAGTGGAAGAGAACAATTAAATAGAAATGGAAATATTAAATTTCTTACCTGGACAAATTCAAACTCAAATGTCACTTTTGTAAACCGGATAGCATTTCTAATATTTGCAACTGAGCTACAGTATTCCTACAAAAATGGTCCTACGTATTGAAAGGTTTACATCATTAAGGTCAATTGGGGACTTTCCAGCTGACTTCACTGAAATAAATCTGCCACCTTTAACATAGTTAATGTTGAGTATTTTTTTTAAAAAAAAAAAACCAGTTGATTCAAGCATTGGGCATGGGCTGTGTCAAAGAAATCAGTAGAAACCCATGTTCAAAATCACCGAATAATTTGGAGAAATAGACCTAATCCTTATAGAAAAATAGGTTTATTGAACAGTTGTATGGTCAGGCATGAAAGAAACATTTATTATTTATTTATTACATTAAGTAGCCAGAAATCAAAACATTATTATTATTATTATTATTATTATTATTATTATTGGAAAATAAACATCTCAGGAAAATAGTCAGAAACTTCAAAGCAATGGTTCTTATTCAGCTTACTCTGGCAGGTGCTTTTCCCTCTCATTCAGGTATGGGCAAACTTGGGCCCTCCAGGTGTTTTGAACTCCAACGCCCACCATCCCTCACAGCCTCAGACCCTTTCCTTTCTGAGGGGGAAAAAGAAAGAGCCTGAGGCTGTTAGGAATGATGGGAGATGAAGTCCAAAACATCTGGAGGGTCTAAGTTCGCCCATGCATGAACTATCTTGATTTCTACTAATTTGCATATGGTTTCTGATTGGCCGCCCTCAACATTCTAACATTTTTAAGTAGCAGGGACTTAAGGAATGGTGGGAGTTGGAGTCCAAAACACCTAGAAGGCCCATGCATGAGCTATTTCGACCTAATTTGCATGTGGTTTCTGATTGGCCAGCCTCAACATTCTAACATTCTTAAGTGGCTGAGGTTTAAGGAATGGTGGGAGTTCAAGTCCAAAACACCTAGAGGGCCCAAGTTTGCCTAGCCCTGCTCTAATCACAGCCTAGCTCACTATCCTGCTATGTGTGTGTGCGCATCACGGACACTTGAAATTATTCCACTTTTTCCAAAAAAAATAAAAAGAGATTCGAAAGAACAGAGCAAAGTTAGCAACCAAGGTTAGATCCACATGCATCAAGTTGTGGGAGGGTGTGGGTGAGGGCTGTTTAAAAAGCAAGGGCAAGAGGGTGGGGGGGAGGAAGAGAGGGCAGGGGAAGGCCTTTGCCCCTCTAGTTGCTTCCGAGGAGGGCCTCCTGGTAGTTTGCCAAGCGTTCTGTGTCCAGCTCAGTCAAGGCATTCCTCTTCTTGCCAGGCGTCCCTGCCCCGACGTCCGTGCGCGGGTACGTCTGCATTTTGTGGAGCTCCTGCGACAGTTTGCCCAGGACGCACGTACTCAGGTTGGCACAGCGCTTGGAAATGGGTCTGTCCAGGCTGCAGGGAGGGGAAGACATGCCCAACACAGTAACGGGAGACACACCATGCGCAGAGACAGACCATGCCCCTCCTCGGACCCCGACCAGCCCCCACCACCACCGCCAGGAGGAAAGATGCGCCCCTCCCTGCCCAGAACGAAGGGAGACGCCCACAAAATGCAGTCCAAACAGGAGGTCAAGGCAACCCCAAGGGCACCATGCAAAGGAGGAGGCGTGGCCAGGGGGAAGAGGGGTCCAGGGAGGCTTCAGGCACATGAAGGGGACCTGTCGGGGCATGCGAGGCCTCATTCTCCATCATGCGTGGCAGGGCGGGGGAGGGGTGGGGAGGGGGTGTCCATGGCAACCAGTGCAGTGGCAAGGCTCGGCCGGAAGGGGGCGCTGCGTGCAAGGAGGTGCCCCTCCTTCTCCAACCCACGCGCGTCATGTCGCGACAAAAAAAGGTAGGAAGGGAGTGTGACCTTTCTCTCTGGACACCTTTGCAACGGGAGGGTGGAATAACATCAAGACGTACCTCTTGCTGGCCCACTTTTTAGTGTTTTTTATGTTTTACTACAACCCCCTTTTTTGTTCAACTTCGAGGCCTTGGTGGATAGTGTTTAAAGGAGAAAAAGAACTGGGTCGTAAAGTCACCTCGCAGCAAAAACCCAGCCCTTCCGGGGGAGGAGAAGCCCTCGCGGGCGGAGGGGGGGATCCGCCGCTTACAGAAGGGCTGCCAGGAAGGAAGGCCGCGCTTGGCGGCGGCAGAGGAGGGCAGGGGAGGGGAGGGGAGGGGAGAGGGAGCCCCCGCCCGGCCCTGAGGGGGTCCCGAGAACCACCACAGCCCCCCCCCCCCGCTCCGTCTCCCCAGATCCACTCCCTACCTGTTCCCCTCGCTGGCCTGCTCCAGCTCCTCCGCCGTCATCTGCACGTACTCCTTCACCAGCGCGTTGAGGAGCCGGCGCGCTTCGTAGTCGCCCAACGCGCCCCGGTCCGTCACGGGCTCTAAGCCGGGTCTAGGGAAGGAAGGAAGGAAGGAAAGAAGGAAAGGAAGGAGAGAGGGAAGGAAGGAAGGAAGGAAGGAAGGAAGGAAGGAAGGAAGGAAGGAAGGAAGGAGGAAAGGAAGGAAGGAAGGAAGGAAGGAAGGAAGGAAGGAAGGAGGAAAGGACAGGCGGAAGGAAGGAAGGAAGGAAGGAAGGAAGGAAAAAGGAGAGGGAGGAGAAAGGGAGGAAGAAGAGAAGAGAGAAGAAGGAATAGAGAAAGAAGGGAGAGGAAGGAGAGAAGGAAGGAAGGAAGGAAGAGAAGGAAAGAGGGAGGGAGGAGAGAAGGAAGAAATGAAGGGAGGAGAGGAAGAAGGGAGGGAAAGAAGGAAGAAAGGACGGACGGAAGGAATGAATGAAGGCAAGAGAGAAGGAGGGAATGAGAGAAAGTCACGCTTTGGGGCACTTGGGAGGAAGGGGGCATTTCCCCGCACTGGTCCTGGTGTACACACGTGTGATGCGTTCCCGCGAACTCCCCTTCGTTCCCCCTTTCTCCCTCGCTATGCTGCTGAGCCGCGCGTTCCCTGGGACCCTTCTTCCTCCGCATTCACCTTCACTAACCCCGAGGAGATGCGTTTTTTCCTTTGTTAAACGGATGCCGCAGCTTCTTCTCTTCTGCCCTGTTCGTCCGCCTCTGCTTTTGGAAGGAGATTCATCTCCTACCTTCCCTCCCGGAGGGTCTCCTCCCCAGTGCATCAGGATCACGCAGCTCCCTTTCCTCTCGACCCCCAGGACTCGGGTGAGTGGGGTCCCTCCTCCTCCTCCCTCTCCCCTCCCTCTCCCTCTTTCGGGGCCTGATGGGACGCGGCGCCCGTGGCTGTCTCCCGCCCCGCCCCTCCCCTCCTTACCTCAGCGGGACGGCTTGGTAGCTCTCCATCTGGCAGGCCACCAAGGCGTAGACGGCGAGGAAAGAGGACAGCTTCAGCATGGCCATGGCGCTCGCCCTGCAAGACAGGCTCCCTTGAGGATAGGCCCCCACCCACCCACCCGCGCAGATCCGGGGAGGGGGCGCCAATAAGCCCCAACGACGCTTGAGGAAAAGGGATGTCCTGGGATTTGGAGGGAAGGGGCTCAGAGCCGCCCTCGCTTCCCTTTGGTTTGTGAGTCTAGGCGGCAGAAGAAATGGATGCAGTTGAATGAACACCACTTGCACTGCCTGCCATGTCTCAAGGCGAGTTGGAGTTGGACAAGACTTAGGCTGGATCTATATCCCGGGATCTGATCCCAAATTATCTGTTTTGAACTGGATTATATGAGTCTCCATTGCCAGATAATCTGGGATAAACAGATCATATCCTGGGATATGGAGCAGTGTAGTTCCAGCCTTAGCTTTGTCTGCCCGGGAGTGTTGCTCCTTTGCCTCACCAAACAACAAATCCCAGCAGCTCATCGCCATCGCCCTGGCTGTCCAAGTGGTGTCAAACCGCATTCATTCCGCAGTGTAGATGCTCCCTTGGATATAGAAACGTTTTAGAAAGAGTCCACATGGGAAACGGGTGCTTTTTGGGTAGCTGTTGCTTTCTCAAAGGATTCAACTCCAAAGAATCAACAGATGGAGAACGATTGGGTCCAACCCGGCATCTGTGTGTGTGTGTTTCTGTCTATAGGGAACGTGTGCATGCTCTGTGTCCTGCATGAAATATCTGAAAGAACCCCATTAGAAAGCGGTCAAACGTATCATATTGTATGCATACGTGTATTTAAAGCGACAATTGCCTAGAAAACCTATACATTTCGTTCATAAATGTGAAGATATGATGGTGAAACGAAGGATGCTAAAGATTATTTGGCAAAAATGTCAAACTGAAAGTGTGTGTTCTATATTTAAATAAAATCTAAATGATATCCAGCCGCCTTAGAAGAGACCACAATCAGTCCTGTCCTCTGCACACGCGCGCGCGCGCACAGAAGTGTGCAAGCTTTTCCAAATATACATTTTTTAAATGTGCATTATCTTTAAATATATATTTTTCCATGAATTTCCTTAACACTCTTTTTTAGAAGGCATTTCTAAGCCAAGTTCCTGCCTCCAGGGTTCCGTTTAATGCACCTCACAAAGGAGAATTAGGTCCCCCCCCCACACACACACACACACACGCATACACACTGTTAGTTTTTCTCTTGTATTTTTAATCTGTTGTCTCTGAATAAATTAAAATACATTGTTGAATCCCAAAGTAACAGAAAACTAGGGAATAAAATACAAATTATATACATATAGGGTTGCTGTGAATTTCCGGGCTGTATGGGCAAGTTCCAGAAGCATTATCTCCTGACGTTTCGCCCACATCTATGGCAGGCATCCTCAGAGATTGTGAGGTCTGCTGGAAACTAGGAAAATAGGGTTTATATATCTGTGGAATAATGTCCAGGGTGGGAGAAAGAACTCTTGTCTGTTTGAGGCAAGTGTGACTGTTGCAGTTGGCCACCTTGATTAACATCAAATGGCCTTGCAGCTTCAAATATATGCATACTATTTTCGATATATACATATTATTTTACATTCTTCCCTAATGTGGCCAAGAAAAGCATCTTCCGAAGGTCAAAGGCCAAGTGGGGTGTCTCCCAGTACAAAGAGGGGTGGATGCAACACTTCCGAGCTCTTCAAAGAAACTATTTTTCTAGCGTCCGTCTTATCCTTCTGACATGCTGTTTTCCAAAATGACAGTCTGTGTTCGTCCCTCAAACCCGATAAAGTTCATTCTTTAGAAATACATAAAAAACCAATCAATCCAAGCAAGATGAAGACGTCATCAGAAGACGTCATCAGGAGCCTTGGCATCCCTGAATGGCAGCCTGCAAACCCAAAACTTTGCCTGGGAGGAAGCACCGTTCAACTCACTTTGCAATGTCAGCCTTGCACGTTCTCCGACCCTCAGGGTGCCTAATCTACACGATGGAATTAATGCAGTTTGACACCACTTGAACTGCCACGGTTTAATGCTATGGAATCAACAAGGTCTGTAGCCTTCTCTGCCTAAGAGCACAGGTGCCTCTCCAAGTACAAACCCTAGGATCCCATAGCACCAAGTCGTAGCAGTTCCAATGGTGCCAAACTGGCTTAATTCTACAGTGTGGATGCGCCCTGGGAAGGGCTTCCAGCACTCACCGGTGGGTTGAGGGGGGAAATAAGAGAGAGAAAGGGCTTACCTTCCGACGCGGAGCTCCTTGGTTGGGGAAGAAGAGTAAGGCGGCGGCGGCGGCGTAGTGGAAGTTCCCCTTGTGTGCGTTTCCAAATCGTGATGGTCTTCGGCGCCCAAGGACCCCCTTTTATATCTGCCGCCAGGATGAAAGTGTGTAGGCGTCCGACCGGCCCCCGGCCAGCCAATCAGCGCCTCCGGCATCCCTCCCAAGCCAATCCACGCCTGACCACGAAACCCCAACTCCTCAATGACGTCATCCCCCAGTCACCGAGTGTGTTCCATTCACAAAAAATTGCCAGTCATTTAGGCACAGCTGATAGGCTCATTTGCATTGAGGTCATCGAACGCCGAAGGAGGGGGGGAGGGGAAGGGGGAGAGGAATGGGGGGGGGGATTAATGACATAATTAATTAATGAAATCGTCCCAACCCCGTATGATATGTAGGCCACCCCCTGTCTCCCTCCCCCTTTTCCAGGGCCACGCTCTCTCCTTAATGGGCACACTCCACTGGGCAGGCTATTTACTTATTAGAGGCGACATCTACTGCGAAAAATGCTGCATTGCAGAAAGGGGAAGTCGCTTGGCATCTTCCCTCTCTTCCTCCTCCTCAACTTTTGCTCCAAAAGAGATGCTCGCCCCGCGTGGAGAGAAAAGAAGCATCGTGGCCACAACGTGGGTGGCTAGCTTCCCTGAGCAAGGATCTGCCCCGTCTTCCTCCAGTCCACACTGGCCAGGCGCTTCTCTCTGGAAACTCTGCGCTCCGTCATTCAATCATTCATTCATTTCACGCAGCCAAGGCCTGTTTTCAGGTTGTAGTCTCTTTCCTACGATTTTTTTCCTGTCAGGAGCTACTTGAGAAACTACAAGTCGCTTCTGGTGTGAGGAAATTGACTGCAAGTCGTTTCTGCTGTGAGAGAATGGGCTGTCTGCAAGGACGTAGCCCAGGAGATACCCGGATGTTTTACCATCCTGTGGGAGGATTCACTTAAGTCCCCGCATGAGATGCTGGAGCTGACAGAATGGTGCTCACCCCGCTCCCTGCACCGTTTTAATTGCTATGAGATAAGGAGCCCCCGGTGGCGCAATGGGTTAAGCCCTTGTGCCGGCAGGACTGAAGATGGACAGGTCAGAGGTTCGAATCCGGAGAGAGTGCGGATGAGCTCCCTCTGTCAGCTCCAGCTCCCCATGCGGGGACATGAGAGAAGCCTCCCACAAGGATGGTAACACATCAAAACATCCGGGCGTCCCCTGGGTAACGTCCTTGCAGACGGCCCATTCTCTCACACCAGAAGCGACTTGCAGTCTCTCAAGTCACTCCTGACACGAAAAAAAAATGTTATGAGATCATGAGAGTTGGAACTGGGGAGAAACTTCGCCTCGCGATCACTTACACGCGAGTTCTGTCTACTGTGGTTTTTGAAATGCCACCAAATCCCGTCCGATATTGGAAGTTAAGCAGAGTCAGCCCTGATTAGTACTTGAATAGGAGACCCTCCCCCCCCCCTCCCAATGAATACCAGGCACCATGGGCTCTGCTCCAGAGGAAGGATCTGCCCAAACCACCTCTGAATATGCCATGCCTAAGAAAACCCTGTGACATTGATTAATGGAGTTGCCACAGTCGATTTGAAGATACACAATATTTATTTGCATCCCACGAATCACGACCGGAGGCAGCTTGATTCCAAAGGCAAGCAGAGGAAATTCAGTTCGTGGAGAGTGGGAATACATCTACACCAGTCCTGGGCAAACTTGGGCCTTCCCTCCAAGTGTTTTGGACTTCAACTCCCACCATTCATAACAGGGTCAGGCCCCTTCCTTTTCCCCTCAGCCGCTTAAGCCTCAGAGTGTTAGGCATGGTGGGATTTGAAGCCCAAAACACCTGGAGGGAAGGCCCAAGTTTGCCCAGGCCTGGCCATAGACACACGGGATCCTGTAGCCATGCAGGAATACACAATGAAAGAAAGCACCACGAGATGGGCACTGACGCCCATCCTGTGTTTAATTCAAACGACCCAAGGGTGGTGGTGGTCAAGTCCTGAGTGAAATCGTTCTTAGCCAGGCGACATTACTCCTCCCAAATGAGGCTCCTCTCAATCCCCCTCCCTAACCAGCATGGCCACACGGGATGGAAAGGCGCCAATGCGAGCTAGCTTAGCCAAGCTATGAAACGTAGGCAATCTACCTAATGAGGCCTTCGCTTACTATTTTTGTGGGGGAAGCAGGGAGCCAAGGAACAGCCGGGGGGGGGGGGGGGGGGGGGGGGGAGAGAACTGAAGGAAGGAAAGAGGTAAGGAAGGAGGGAGGGGGAGGGGAGGGGGGGGGGGGGGAGGAAAGAAGTAGAAGGAAGAGAAGGGAGGAAGGAAGAAAGAAGGAAGAGAAGAGAGAGGAAAGAAGGGAAGGGAGGGAGAGGGAAAGAAGGAAGAGGAAAGAGAGAAGGGAGGAGGGAAGGGAGGAAGGAAGGAAGAAAGAGAGAAGGAGGAGAGGAAAGAGAAGGAAAGGAGGAGGGAAAGAAAGAAAGAGAGGGAGGGAGGAAGAAAGGAAGAGAGAAGGAAGAAAGAGAAGAAGGGAAAGAAGAAAGAGAGGGAGGGAGGAAGAAGGAAGGAAAAGAGAGGGGGAGAAGGAAGAAGATGGAAAGAGAGGGAGGAGGAAGAAAAGAGAAGGGAAGAGAGGGAGGAGGGGAGGAAAGAGATAAGGGAGGGGAGGGGAGAAGGGAGGGAGGAAAGAAGGAAGGAGCGAAGGAAAGAGAAGGAAGGAAGAGAAGGGAAGGAGGGAGGAAGTAAAGAGAGAAGGGAGGGAAGGAAGGAGGAAGGGAAGGAAGGAAGGAAAGAGAGAAGGGAGGGAGGAAGAAGGGGAGGAAAGAAGGAAGGAAAAGAGAAGGGAGGGAAGGAGGAAGAAGGGAAGGAAAGAAAGGAGAAAGAGAGGGAGGGAGGAAAGAAGGAAGGAAAGAGAAGGGAGGGAGGGAGGAAGTAAAAGAGAAGGGATGGGAGGAAAGGAGAAAGGAAAGAAGGAATGAAAGAAGAAAGGGAGGAAGGAAAGAAAAAGGGAATGAAGGGAAGGAGGGAGAAAAGAAGGAAAGAGAAGGAAGAAAGGGAGGAAAGAAGGAAGGAAAGGAAAAGGAAAGGAGGGAGGGAGGGAGGAAGAAAAAAGGGAAGGGAAGGTCTAGTTAGAGATTCCTCTCCTGAAGCAGGGCGTCCCTCGTGGGCGAGCCTCGCTTGGGACTGCTGAGGGAGGGAGGAGAGAGGGCGGCTGGCTGCTCCGTGTCTGCGCTCCCCTTCCCCCCTCCCTCCTTTACCCGGGTGATTCAGTCAGTCATTGCCAATCCCCAACGGCTCCGTGATCGATTGCCTTAATGGGAAATTGCTTTGGCAAAGGGCCCCACTGGGAAGAGCGCTCCCCGCCGCCCGCCCGCCTCTTCTCTCTCTCTCTCTCCCCCCCCCCCCCTTCTTGTTTTCTGTCCCTGGGCTGAAGTGGTCACGTTCCTCGCGGCCGGTGTGAGCGAGCAAGGGAGTCCGGGGCAGCAGCTGCTGTATGTTGTTGTTATCCCCTCGGAAGCGGCGAGAGCGGAGGTGGGAGAGGAGAAGGGGTGACACAGGGAAGGGAGGCGAGGGGAGGGAGGCCCACCCGTCCATCCATCCATCCCGCCTCGAGGGGCTCTTAGTCATTGTCTCGCGGCCACGGAGTCGTGCCTGGCGCGCGGACACCTGCTCCTCCGCCCAGGATGTTTGGCTTAGAGTGCCGGGAGAGGCCACTCGTCTCGAAAGGGAGGCGGGGGGGGGGGGTGAGGGGGAGAGAGAGGAAAGGGAAGCTTTCTCTGGGAGATGGGCGTGTTTCCTCGAGTGTGTTTGTTCCGTCTGGGGGCGAGGAACAGCTCCTCGCTCGTCCGGCGTGACTTTGTTTGCCTTTACCCCTTCAGCTGTGGGCTTGAGTGGTCTCTTCCTTCCGTGGCTCTCTATATAAGGCGATGGGAGGGATGGGCGGAAGGGCGAGAAGTCTTCTTTAGGAGCGGAAGGGTCGATTCTGGGATACAAAGAAGGTTTAGTGGGATAGGGAGGCGTTTGAGCCAACTTGGAAGTATCTACACCAGGCCTGGGGAAACTTCGGCCCTCCAGGTGTTTTGGACTTCAACTCCCACAATTCCTAACAGCCTACCGGCTGTTAGGAATTGTGGGAGTTGAAGAACAAAACACCTGGAGGGCCGAAGTTTCCCCAGGCCTGATCTACACCGTAGAAAGCTGAGAGAAGCAGGGAATCAATGCCTTCCGATGGCGCTCTGGTGGTCGATTTCTCCCCTGAGGCTCCGCCGGAGCGCCAACTGGAATCCTTTCATAATAAACCCTTCCAATTGGAAGCGGCAGAAGGTGAGAACCCTGTCCTGGTGGCCTGGTAACCACGTAAATCATGGCTTTCCCGCATGTTGTGCTGAAGGAAGGGAGGCTTCCGTGCATCTTCTCCCCTCAGAGACCTTAGAGGTGCCTTTTCTTGCCTCCTTGAAGTCCCTCCCCACTTCAAAGCCTGGTGAGAGTCCAAGCAGAATCTTGTTTTCTTTCCGTTCAAAACCAGACAACCATGCCGGGGAAATGCCCCTTTCTTTACAACTGTTGTCTCAATCAGTGTCGCTTGACTTGTTCCCTCTTCACAATATCCGGAAGGGAGTCTAAATTCGGCTGAAGTCGTTTGTTGTGGGGTTTCTTCTAGAGCGGTGGGTCCCACGTTTGGGTCCTCCGGGAGTTTGGGACTGCATCTCCCAGAAGCCCCAACCACTTGGTCAACTGTCAGGGATTTCTGGGAAGTCAAGTCCCAAGCATCTGGAGGACCAAAGTCTCTAGAGCAGGCATGGGCAAGCTTGGGCCCTGCAGGTGTTTTGGACTTCAACTCCCACCATTCCTAACAGTCTCAGACCCTTTCCTTTTCCCACTCAGGCACCTCCAGGTGTTTTGGACTCTAACTCCCGCATTCCTTACAGCCTCAGGTCCCTTTCTTTTCCCCATCAGCCGCTTAAGCAGCTGAGGGGGAAAAGGAAAGGGTCTGAGGCTGTGAGGAATGTTGGGAGTTGGAGTCCAAAACACTTGTACGGCCCAAGTTTGCCCATACCTGAATGAGAGGGGAAAGCACCTGCCAGAGTAAGCTGAATAAGAACCATTGCCTTAAAGTTTCTGAAG